TTAAAAATTGGATGGACTGGATGACCAATAATTTGACAGAGATATTACTTATTGGACCAAAAGACAGTACACAGAATCTCTTGGATGCACTGCTAGCTGGTTGTCCTGCATATTCAATAATCAAGCTACAGCTAGTCCAAAATGCAGCGGCTAGAGTCCTTACCAGGTCAAGAAAATATGATCATATTACCCCAATTTTACTAAATCAAACTAGTACCTAACTAGTCTTCTAGCACGCTACAATCCATCACGCTCCCTAAGGTCGCAAAACTCTGGATTTTGGTAGTACCTAGGATAGCAAAGTCCACTAAAGGAGGTAGAGCTTTTTCGCATTTGGCTCCCAAACTCTGGAATAGCCTTCCTGATACCGTTCGGGGTTCAGACACACTCTCTCTGTTTAAATCTAGATTAAAGACACATCTCTTTGGCCAAGCATTCAAATAATGCATCTCATAATCTTGTACTGCAGTTATATCTGATCAAATGCACATTATTATTCTTTAGTTTGGGTTAAACAAATCAATGTTGCTTGGTTGGAACAGCAGCTACGCTAATTATGTCTCTATTTGTTTCTCTGTTTTTGCCACGGGATGCAAATAGGATTTACACAAGCTTCAGTCTGGATCCAGAACACCTGAGAAGAGATGATGCCAACCCCTCAGAGGACCTCAGATGATGCCAACCCTGAAACAACATACAGAACTACCACATTTTGCTTCATATAATAATTGCTGTTAATAGTGTTCATCATCTGTTTGATTATGTCTTTAATTGATTTTTCCGTACATTTCTGCCATATGTACATTAACTGACAGTCACCACTGATAAGCTACCACTAACTATTGTAGAAACTTAATTTGCTGTAAAGTTGCTTTGCAATGATTTGTATTGTGAAAAGCGCTATACAAATAAACTTGAATTGAATTGAATTGAAGATGTCAGCCAAATACTGCATGACACGAGCCACAGTACTATAGACCATATTATCCATCTAAAAATAAAACAGAAAATACATTTGATGCAAAACCACACTCTCTTTTACTTGACACAAAGGGCATGTCTTCAGCGTGTGTGAGAGTGTGTGTGTTAGCTGGTGTGAACAGTTCTCCTGTTGTGCCAGGCTGTTTGACCATTGTAAGAGTGGCAGGGTGGAAGCCCTCTAATTCTTCTTTAATGTGAATGAGCCATTCACTCTTAATGTCCTTCTCTTCAAAACGCCTGACTTTCAGCCCTGGCCTGCTGAGTGCTGCAATAGAGAGAAAGAGGGAGAAAGAAAGAGAGGGAGGTGCAGAGAAGTATGACAGAACATAGCCTCAGCAGCGGAAGGCCTATGAACGTTTAAGCTCAGAGATTGAAAACCTTTTGTTCTGTCAGGACCACTATCGTCAAAATGATAGATACTTAGCATAAAGTTTGGTTTGGCGGTATGGTTCTGTTCTGGGCAAAAAACCTCCCTGCCCATCCATGCAGCCTGTCATGAATGAGCAGGGAGAGCAGCAATAATAACCCCCCCAGGGTTAACAGAACAGAACAAGGCAGATATCATTAATGTACTTAATGATATTTAAGTGTAACACTTTATTCAAGATAAAGGAGTCTGATTAGCAAGGAATATCAGAAAGCTAAGTCCTGACTGTGGCGAAAGGTGGAGCTGGGGATGGAGGAGGGTAATTTGCTCCGAAGCAAGCTGAAAAGCTGCTGAATAATACTGAATACAGCTTATATAGAAATGCCGCGATAGGTGTTGTATTCCTATAGGTAGATGTGATCAGCTGATGCAAGCTTGACTCACGTGACCTGCCAGAACTAACGCTAAAGCTTAATTTTTGTAAAGTCGCTGTAAAATGTCGCAGAAAGCGAATTAAATCTCTAAGGTGAAACCAGCCACAACATACAGCTCCAGTTTGATAAACTCCTGTGTGCAATTTTTTAAAGAAAGTCAAAATTCTTAAGACTCCAATGTACTTTAAGTGAAAACAAAGAATGAATAGGTGCGACAATATTTCAAAATATGTCAACCTCAGACACAAGAATAAACATGAATAGGCTACACTTAAATGCCGAATTGCAAAGCTGGTACAAACATATTCACATCTCTATGATCGCTTGCATATATACTCGGAGATGAGTTTCCGAAAAGAAAATTACAATGAATTTGGTTGTCTTCTTTTGTTGTCATTTTGTCAATTTAAAACTTGATCTTCCTCTGAAACTGTTTTAAAATGTTTATTCAATGGTGTCAGTTGGTGTTCAATTGGATTACATTATTATATAAAATTTTAACCAATAACCAAATAGATATTAAGATGTTGTTTTAGTAAACTGAATTCGGGTCACACGTTTTTGGTATGTAATGGCCACTTTTCACCTTCAAATTAGTTTCCAATGGATAAAATCAAGACTCATCCTACATTTTTCCTGTTCTTTATCCTGGTTCACTAGGAAATACAAAATTATGGGTTAAATGGATTGCAATTCACATGAACATTTCCGCTGAAAAGTATAAACAATAGGTTTGAAGCACATTTAAAACACTTTATTTGCACGAGCATCCCTGTCTCAACAAATGGAGTGACTTTGGGACAGGACTATGTGTTGAAAGTGTTCTGGAAACCTGTTTCAAAACAGTCGTTATTTTGCAATTCTCTTTTGTGACAGTAGTGGCATTGAAATCTGACACTTTAACTTTGATTCAAATGAATCAGTCTGAATCAAACATTTCAGAGAGACATTCACGGCAAAAATAAAAAAAACATGATAAATTCAATCTAAGACAGACAAGGCAACTCTTTTCTTTCACATCCTCCCTCTTCTCTTCTTCTCTTTTCTGCAGACAGATTATTTAAAACCTCCATAAAAGACATAGCAAGGGCTTAAATCACGTTCATATCTCTCTAAACGAGAGACAGACGCCTCGCATGTCAATGACCAATTCAATTCCACACGCCATTTTCCTCTGCTAATTAACACAGTACCGTGTTCATTTAGAGACACAATGCAGAGCACTGGGCCGGGGCAGGCTGGGCAGCCGCATGTCGTCTGCTGCTGACATCGGCCTTTAATAGGGCTTTAGCATATTAAACAGCTCAATCATCTCTCATATGCACACACACACACACACTCAGACTGGATGGATGCACTAGTTTTCTGTGTAATAGGGACAGATATGAGAGAAATGAGAAAGTATGTAAGAAAGTCTTCATTAGTCACTCAAAGACACTTTCCTCTTGTCGCTAAATATCTTTAGATGTGTGAAAGGAGGGATTGAGCTGGAGGGATGGAGAGGTAAATGAAGAAAAAAAGTGGTGTTAGATGTAAAGGATAGAGGGATAATTTAATCATGAACACTGTCAGCACTAAACTTTTACCATAATCTGACTGTCAAAAAGGAGGGGCCGACAGACAGGAGAGGAAAATGAGAAAGGGAGGTAATTAATGAGATACTATGTGTTCATTTTATATATAATTTTTTGCACACAAAAAAAGTGTTTTACCTACTGTCTGAGTAACTGAAAATTAAAATGTTTTTGGAAGTGTGCAAGTGTGTCAGCTCAGAATTTTCAGGCAACACACTTCGACAAACAACATTTGCTTACTTACAGAACAAGCTGTTCACACAAGCCAGTGATTTGGATATAAAATATACAATATATTGACGTCTAAAGCCTATTTTTGTAATGTGTACTCAATGTAATGTAAAAATGTTATGGCATAAATTACATTTTGATATAAATACATTTTAAATTGATTGACCGCAATAGGCTTAATTATACCGGATAATTATCTAAAAACTGAAATTATATGAATAAGTTTTCTTTTATTACAATATCACAATTAATCAATTCATTATAAAGGATTTCACTAATATTCAAGATGTTTCTTCATTTGTTTTTCTAATTGAAAACAAAACATACTTTCTGTAGAATATTAGTTTATAGATTATTAAATGTCCTCAAAATCACTTTCCATCCTGTTAGTCTTTTGCAATATCCGTTTAGCAAACAAAAGCCAGTTCCTTAATTACATCATCCTACAGGAAGTGTAGCGAAAACAACAGCACAAAAAAGCAGTAAGTATCAGCAATGGACTTCATATTGACAGTCACGCTCAATTCCTCGCAGAACACAAACATTTACATTTTTTAAAATGTAGAATTCAAGGTATGTAAATTGAAATGAATAAGTCTCAAAACAATCCTCTGCTTAACAATAATTAAGGCCTCTGACATACACACACACACACATTTGAAACTATAGTGAGCATATTTCATAAAGATGGATATTTATACTACCACGGCCATAACTGTGTCTTGAACAATTTTAAAACAATTAAAGGATTTAAAATGACTTAAGGGAATAAATGAAAAGAAAGAACATACAAGAACCAGAATTTATTGTAAAGTAATGCATTTGAACTAGTGCTGTCAAACGATTAATCGCGATTAATCACATCCAAAATAAAGGTTTTTGTTTACATAATATATGTGTATATTTATCATGTATATATAAATACATACACATGCATATATATATTCAAGAAAAATATGTTATGTTTATATATTAAATATATTTATATATAATATAAATTATATAATCACATCCAAAATAAAGGTTTTTGTTTACATAATATATGTGTATATTTATCATGTATATATAAATACATACACATGCATATATATATTTAAGAAAAATATGTTATGTTTATATATTAAATATATTTATATATAATATAGTGGGAAAACATAGGCTATAAAAAAGAGGTAAGGTTTAGCATGTTCTAACACTTTTATTTAAAAGTGTCTCTGATTCGAATCCATCCTAGGTCATGTCATCCCATCCCATTACCCTCTGGCCCTGTACTTTCTTTTCATTTCTGCCAGGCAATCATTAAAATAACTAATGCATGCATTTGACGGTAATACAAACATTCAAATGATTCATACAGAAAATATAGCCTAATAGAAATACTGCATTTACAAACAAAACAGAGATATGACCTACCATATACACCGCTGATCATATTGCTTGACATCAGCAAGGTGACTGAGAGCGAAAAAAAGGAGTGAAAGGTTCACTTCAGTGATTTCCACAAAGCGAAAGACTTTCCAGTAAGTTGAAGGACACGCACCACATGCAAATAAATAGTGTTTTGAGCGGACAGGAACCCCAAACTGTGGAGAAAGAATACAGGAGAGATTAATATAATGCAGCAGCAGCAAAACGTTTACCATTAAACGTATAGGCCTATGAACATTCTCAGTAATTATCATTGGTTAGGCTATGCATATTTATTTGTTTGTTTAACGTTCCCATTTCCCCCCAAAACTGTTTTTTTTTTTATTTAAACATTTTATAGCTATTAACATTTTAATGCAAATATTATTTTCCATATATTAAAAAGTGCGCTCAAAAAGTAAGGTAAATACAGAATATTTATTTCTATTTAGCTATTTTTTAAAACTAGATTCTGCATATAAACGTAGCCTACTTATATATATATATATATATATATTTATAAGTATATATATATATATATATATATTACAGTTTTACATTGTAGGCGATTTTTCTGTTTAGTTCATTATTGCAGATACGTATTTAAATAATAAGTATATTCAATCGGATTGAAATGTCATTTAAATAACATTTTGTATTTATTTGTCACTCTGGATTGTTTTGGCAATGCTATATTTGAATATTCTTGCAAAGTGAGATTTCTAAATTAAGTCAGAGATCATACTGAATTGTGCTGATAGGTGAGAATGTCTCTCTGTTATTTTCGCCTGGACACACACACACACACACGCGCGCGCGGATCAATGCTGCTTATTATAGAACTCTGCTCCAATAATAAAACTTCTTGCCTAGTGCTCAAACTATCATAATTTCACGCTATTTAAATTAAAATTGCGCGCTATGTTTTGCTCGGGCCTGTGTCCGAGTGTCCGAGCGCACAGTCCGTGCTACGGCATGGCCTCTCTCTCTCTCTCTCTCTCTCTCTCCGGTACAACGGACAGCTGCTGGACACAAACAAAGTGAAAGATTTACCTGTTCGGCGCCGGAGAACGGCGACAGCGTCCAGCCGTGCTGCTGAGAACGGGGGATGAGGGCTACTCCGAGTCGGGGATGTTCTGGAATGCTTCCAAGTCAGGGCTGGAGAGACTGACCACCATAGAAATACTGACCACATCTACTGCCATGTTGGAATTCCAGAACCTCACGCCAGCTGCCGAAAAGAAAGCGGAGAAGCTTAATCTCCTACTGCGCATGCGCTCTTCCGGACTCCAACTGTGAGTCCAGTTTCTCTCTCTCTCTCTCTCTCTCTCACGCACAAGTAGTAGGCTATATCATGTTAAACACTATCAAAGCTAGCGGGTTTAAACATCCTTTGGGAACTCCCAGGTGAAAAAGAAATATATTTAAATTGTGCTTTTTCGGACATACTTACTATATTTAAATTATACTATACTAAGTGCATATTAAATGTATTATTTTGAAACAACTTTAAGTATATTAAGGGTATTTCAAGATATGCTTAAGCTTGTAATATATTTAATATACTGAAATTGTGTTAAATTGGAACCACTTTAAGTATATTTAGTGCAATTTAAGTGTATTTCTTAAAATACATTTAAAATGTCCTTTTAATACTTCATGAACTACAGTTAGAGTATATTTGAAGCATTGTTTTAATGTACTTCAAGTACATTTCAATTGTATTTCAGCTCATTGGAAATGCATTAGCATTACACTACTAGTATATTATAAAGCTGCTTTTTTCAGTATATACACACACGTACACACTTTGATATCTAGAAAACTTTAATGTATTATATATTGTTGTGTACATTACAAATATTCATAAAGTACACTAAAAAAGGACAGCAGCATATATACTTTGGTGAAAAACAAAACAAAACGTATGTAAAAATGCACTTGAAATACAAGTATGTTTATAGTATATTTGTATTCACTTAAATATACAAATATAATTCCTGTCATTTATATGTGGCAAAGGACAACATTCGCTGATGTTGTAGCCTACACAAAGGCAGGATTAAAGGATATAATATAATTAATTCCTATATGTGACCCTGGACCACAAAACCAGTCATAAGGGTCAATTTTTGGAAATTGAGATTTATACATCATCTGAAAGCTGAAAAAATAAGCTTTCTATTGATGGTGGGTAGGACAATATTTGGCTTAGATACAACTATTTGAAAATCTGGAATCTCAGGGTGCAAAAATAAATAAATAAATAAAAAAATATTGAGAAAATCGCCTTTAAAGTTGTCCAAATTAAGTTCTTAGCAATGCATTTTACTAATCAAAAATTAAGTTTTAATATTTTTACGGTAGGAACTAAATGTCTTCATGGAACATGATCTTTAATATCTTTAATATCCTAATGATTTTTGGCATAAAAGAAAATCTATAATTTTGACCCATACAATGTATTGTTGGCTATTGCTACAAATATACCCGTGCTACTTATGACTGGTTTTATGGTCCAGGGTCACATATGTTACTCATTTGATACTATGTAATTTGATAAACAATGAAATTAACTGCAAAGTGCTTTTTCTGTACCTGAGATTTACAAATCTGTAATGCATAGTATACAAAGAGGCCTTTATTCTTTTTCTCACCTTAATTTTTATTTATTTTTGCTCTCTACTGTTAACATGCCTCGAAAAATGAAATGATGTTCATTATAATCGGAGTGCACATTTTTGTGCTAAACTGTAAATGTGTGCATATATGCATTTGAATGAGTATATTAGGGTGTGTAATGCACCAGTCACTGTATATTAAATAAACTTCAAGCATATATAATGTGCATGATAATTCATATTAAGACATCGCAGACAAATTCACCATGCATTTAGTGTGCAGAAAAAAGTCAAGCCCCCATTCACCAACCTCAACATCATTTCATTCTAATCCACATTTCTTATGTTTGCTAATTACAGAGCCACTCATGTCCCTGTCTCCGATTATCATTTCGCATAAAAGGCACAAGTTTAGCATAAATTACGAATATTTCTGCATATTAGCCAGTGACGCCGTGACATGTTAATGACCCTGGTGTCAAATGGCAGAGAAAATGAAAGAGAGATAATCTGACAGAATGAAAAATAGAAAGAATAAACACTGAAAGAGACTAAGAAATGAAAGAGCACCTTGACATTTAGAATTGTTTTAATTATTTTTAATAAAAAAGTCAGTTTCCATTATTAATACACACGAATCTGAAAGCAGTATGAGCAAAATGCAAAGAATTCAAGGTAGAAAAGAACACTGACAACCAGCAACATTTTACATATAGTTAAAGAAAACAGGACTAAAAGTGAAGAAGTTGAGGTTGGAAACTATTGTGATTACAACATTTTCTTGGTTCTATCGTCCATTTCTAGACTAAACATAGTGTCTGTCTGTTTGTCTTTTCTCTGTCTTTCTGGGTAAGGGCAGGGAGGAGAGGCCATCCGCACAGCATTGTGGGGGTTAGAATGTGGTGACATCAGAGGAAATGTCAGAGATTGTGGGAGGCAACGTTAAAGAGAAACTCAGCTCCGTGCCTGAAAGCCTAACTGACATTTTTGGACAGTCGGAAAGGTCAGGCATACCTTCAGATGAAAACTATTACTCCTTATACAGTACACACAGCTGGGTAAAATAATATCATGTTTTTACCGTATTTGCTTGAGTTTCATGCTCATGTTTGTTGCTCCATAACCATGAATGACAATTTATATATCATACAGTATTACATACATATATGCACCATGAAAATAAATGATTTTATTAAATTACTTGTATGTATGTGTATATATATATTTTTGGATTTTATGCTCATGCTCAAGATTTAATGCTCGTGTGTGATGCTCCCAGGAGAATAATTCATTAATTCTTACACACACACACTTAATATTTGCATAATGTATATATATATATTTATTTTAATGAGTAATCTTAAGTATTTTTACATTAATTTTCATGGAGAGAAGATATAAAATGAGACATAATACATACCACAGTCCTGAATTGTTACTGTTAGGCTCAACAACCCATCATAGTCTAACGTGTTTTTAATGTACGTTTCATGCTTGCGTGTTGATCCCAAGATGACACCATGAAAATGAATTTAAAATGGATTTAAATGACTTATATATGCATGCTAATTCATATGTGCGTGTGAAAGAGAATATATTCAGAGTCTACATATACTGTGTGTATAATGTTAAACTACAGGCCCAAACTGTTACTTTTGGCTGCTGTGCCATTAAACTCAGCGACCCTTCGTAGTCTAATAGATTTGACTGGATTTTTAAGTGCAGATATCTGTCTGACAGCTTCATCTGAGGCCTGTTCCATCTGAGAACAGACTTTATGTAAATAAGTTTGGCTCTGATTGTTAATTAGGGCTTTAGGTGATCAGTATTCATGAGTGTGCGTGGCGCGCTGCTCTCGCCGGGCATGTCTGTGCTGCTCGGGGGTTGGGGGAGCACTGATCTGGCTTCAGTGACCAGTAGGAAGTATGCGCGCCACAAACTTGCCAGAATACTGATGAGGGAGGTGAGAAAGGCACCAGTCCACCAGGGAGAACTAGACACTTCCTCTATCTCATGCACCACCAGTGGACTTTACACAAGGTGCATATTTTAACGTGAGAACGTTTCGATCAGTTCCTCGGCATACTTGCGCACGGGTAAACCAAACTAGCTTTATAAAATAGAAAACATGCATGGGTCAGATGACCAATAAAGCCCACCTAACCCCCAATTGGCTATGGCAAACATATACCCGCAGTGTTTACGGCCACACGTGGGTTTCAATAGGCCAATTTGATGAAAAGCCCCTCATTGTGCTTGGCCGGGTCCTATTCAATCAGCCATGCCTGTTGGAAAACCATTCCTACACACCACAGAGAGGTGTCTCAGAGGGCAGGAAAACACGCCTTGAAAATGAGTGGAGGAAAATCTGAAATGGCTGAAGGTCTAAAAGGTGGAGATGCAACCGCCCTGCAGATCTGTTGTGGCCTTGAAAGAGTCCTCTTCAAACAAAAAGCCAGGTAGATAAATAAACTTCATCCTTTTGAATGTCGTTGACTGCCCAGAGAATAAAGCAACACCGAAAGCTTTTTCCCTTAGTTTTATGAAGTCTGCAAAACTAGTCTTTGACAGACAGAAAAGATGTTACTAGCAGAAAGTGGTAGGTATTTAGAAACACACAAAACACTGTGTCGCTGGTTAAAAAGCTCTCCTCTGTGATTTGACCTTTGTGTTTATCGTTAAGAAAGTGACAGTTGAAAGGATCTGCAAAGTACTGAGTTACATCAAAAAGTGTTTGACGTGTCTGTGACAAAAACACACATGCACAATATACCGTTCTCAAGCACTTAGCACTCTAGGTATATACTGCCCCCTAGTGATCCTAACAGTTAAATGAGTTGACGCCATACAAATTGCACTTAGATATGACAACAGTTTGGTTTAAAAAACGTGACAAAGAATGATCAATCACTGGGAATGCTAACAGACATCGCTTTCTCCACTTATAGACTTATTATAGACTTGCTGGGACCCAAGCCATATATAAAGATGAGTACAGTATATCATAGATTATTGGGACCAAAGAGCAACACTCTAGCAATGTGATAATCACTCAGGATTTCTTACAGTTCACAACATTTCACCATCATGGTTGCATGCTTTTTGCCGTTTTAATATGGAAAAGCACATTAGAATGGAGCTATGATGGACAGCAATATATTCAGTAAATTATTATGAATCACTTTATGGTGCTTTTTGGAATTTTTTCTTTTTTGACTGGCGCTATGTGGATTACTTGTGAATTATTACAATGTTTTTATCAGCTCTTTGGACCCTCATTCTGACTGCTCCCATTCGCTGCAGAGGATCCACTGGTGAGCAAGTGATGTAATACATTTCTCAAAAATCAGTCATGAAAAAGGAAACTCATCTTCATCTTGAATGGACTAACAGGGCCTTTTTTTTTTTTTTTTTAAAGCAAATGATCAATTTTGGGTGAACTATTCCTTTAAACACAGCACCACCCACTCTGTCTTTGCCATTATATTTTTCTCTAAATCTGAATGATGACATTTTGCTTGAGGTTTACGAACAAATGTTATTTATTTAAGCTCAAAAATACAAAAGACAACATGTAGAAAACAGTATCCTGGCAGGTT